GCCTGCGCCTGGGACCACGTCCGCATCGAAGCTCGCGCCTCTTTACAGCACCTCCACAACCTCACGCGCACCATGCGCCGCTAGCACAAACACCCACGCACACCAACCCACACCCGCGCACCCGACACGCTCCCACACCACGCCCCAAACCCACCTCGCACCTCACTCCTGACCTCCCCTGCCACAAGGGACACGGCTCCATCAACCTCACATCACCCGCAGCCTACAATCACTGCACCTCCGTTCATACAAACTCTCCAGTTGATTTCCACTAAAGACTTGATAAACTTATTTGTATACATATTTATTTATTTATCTATTTATACTTATTTATTTATTTATTTATCTATTCACTGTTTTATGCCACAGAAAATAAAGATGCATGAAAAAACACCTGCCATTGCCTCTTGTCTCACTAGCACTGCAACCAGGCTTTGGGCTGGGGGAAAACCCACTTCTACCCAGCACCTACTCCAAGCACTGCTCCAGCCAGGGCTCTGCACAGCCCCTGCCCTCTCCTGTCATTCTCACCTGCCCACCAAGGATCTTGCCACATATCTTTGGAAAAAATAAACACTTGGCCAGTGTTTGGCCAACAACGTGGAATCACAAAAGCAGCGAGAGCCCAAGGTAGGAAAGCACAGCTGGAGCTCACCTGCTTCATCCACAGACTGCYCCAGCCATCCATTCTGTGCCTCTCAGACACGGATGTTGTGCGGGACASGGTCAAACACTTTGCACAAGGCCAGACASACAAGGTCACTCACTCTGCCCCTATACACCAGTGCTCAACACCCACCACACAATTTCAACAAAACTGCAACCAATTTTTTTCCCTAAGGAAAGCCACGTTCCCTGTTAACAATCATCYCTTTGCTTTCCATGGGCCTTCCAAGAGTTTCCTTACCACACAAGAAACAGCTCCAGCAGCTCAGCCTGGAACACAGGTCACACTGACTGCTCTTCTGCTTTTCCATTCTTAAAAAYGGGGGTTATATTTCTCATCTTCCACCTGCCYGGRGCTTCACTGGACAGATACCATGTCTCAAAAATAATGCACGGTGGCCGAGCAACTCCATCTACCACTTCCCTCAGGACCTAAGGAAAAACTTCTGCAGCTCCCATGACCTTGCACATATTCACATTCTTACATCAACATCTCAAATCTTGTCACGTCGTACTGTGGCCTTGGGCTYGACATCCTTCATGCACGTATTCCTGCATTTGCCTTTCACACCTTGGTCAGTGTGCCTCACGCACTTGCACTGAACACTGAGACACAGAAGTTGCAGAGAACTTCTGSATTCTCTTTCCCCAGGGTAGCCACATCTCCCGTTTCCTTACTTATACTATCATTAATCCTCTTTTGCTTGCAGCAGAGCCGGCAAAACCTTCTCCCCATCCTTGATATCCATAGCCACACGCAATCTTAAATGGGGCTTGCCACCCTGAACCTTGTCTCTGGCTTCCCACACCATTTCTCTGTACTCCCCCAGG